CCTTGTCCCAAGCAGCTACATTCTCTTTCTTTATATCCATTTCTAGCTGTGATTGATTCCTGGAATGGCAATGGAAGGGATTGTGCCAGATGAAGGGCACAATTGTCTCAGTTGGTGGTAGCACCTGGCTGACTTAGTCTAACTTGGAAGCCAAACAGTGTTGGGCCTGGTCAGTACTTGGATGGGAGACCAGGGTAATAGGGAAGTTGCCAATCACCCAGGAAGGTGGCAGTGGCAAACCAGTTCTGTTTTGTATTTAAGAAAGCTTCCTTAAATACATGTCCCTGAAATCACTAGGCTCAACTTGAAGGACTCTTTACCTTTTAAGAGCACAATTGTAACTGGAGTCTGCAATACCACAGATATTGAATATTCTTTGTTTGTTACAACAAAATTATGAAACCAGGCCTAGCCAGCCCAAGTCTTGATGCTGTCTGTCACATATCACTGCTCCCTTTTGTGGCTGAGGCAGACCCCAAGCTTTCAGAGAGTGCAATAGCTCATAAATTACATAAATTAGCTCATAATTTAGAATTGCACATCAGATTATACATTTATTATAGTGTTTTTAATTAAGAAATGTTTGTATTTTTTATTCTTCCTTTGGTCTATTTTGTTTTATATAATGATTTTAGGTGCATTGGATTTCCTGTTCAAAGAAAAAACCAAAACAGCAGAGTAGATCTAACCTTAAATGGAAAGGCTTATCTTTTGGACTTTAAAACTTAAAAACAGAACATTGCCCCCTTATTTTCAGCAATTTGGTCTGTTACATTTGTGTCAGCTGGAAATAGGAAATACTAATCAATGTGGTCAAAACTAGAAAGAAGTAATACAGATTTTTTAAATCTGTTTCAAACTATGACATTCAAGTACAAAGGATGTTTCTTCCTTTCTCCTTTCTTTCTTTCCTTTCATAGGAGGCACTTTCCTCCTATGGCTCCATATAAAACTCTTTTCTTAAGCTAGCTGGATTAAACTGAAAACATATGCATTAAGATTTTGAATTCAGTGGAAATAGACTGATACGCTGGAGTGAATGAAGATGGATGAGATACCAACTGAAAGCTGCCTCTGGGAGTGCTGTCCTTTTTTAATATATAGCTCTTCTTCCTTAGATTTGATTAGACAGTATTTTTAGTACAACTGCATTCTCTGGAGTGAGCTGGCATTGTGTTCTTTCTAATCTTCCATTTCATAGTCATTGACATTTTAGCAGATATGGATGAGTGTTGCTGTCTTTAAGCATTCCTAAATTAACATGCTTCCTACTCTCCTTCCTTTAGTTCCAGCTGTAGATTGATTATGTTTTTTCTCCTTTGTTCTTTCTTTTTGATCGCTGCCATTATTGCATGTCCTGGGGATTTCCAACTTCAGCACCAGAGCCTAGTGCAGAGTCTCCAGGTGATGTAAATATAGGCTGTTCTCTCTGCTTTCTGGATTCTTCTTGAAGGAAGCAATTTATAATTGCTAATACAGTATATGTCCAATAGAGTATTTTAGTTGAAGCTTATTGACTACATCAGGAAGCAGCAACCATTTCATGCAAAATAGGGAATGAAACACTGATTTAACCAAAGGTAGGGTGAAAATGTCTTCAAAAATGTCTTCTTTCTTGGCAGCTGTACAGATTGCCATGGCTTTCTTCTGGGATGTTTTTTGGACTTCCCTCTCCTTAAAAAATTGTTTAAACATCTGTCTGAAAATGCTCAGCATTGTAGATACTGTAGGTTGGCCCTCTCTAGAGTGGGGATTCTACATGCTTGGTGCCAAAATGGAAGAACATTTATTTCTGGTGCTTTCACTTTTTTATGACATTATTTGTATTGCCTGTTGTAAAACAGTGGTGGCCTGTTGCTGGATATTCAGTTCCTGGTATTTCTACTTTGTAATAACCTCAGAGAATTGGGATAAGAAATATTTCTGCTTAAAGAGTTGCTAGTACCTCAAGTAAACAGTACTGGGTTTGATGAAGTAGAGATCTGTCTTGATATAAAGGCCTTCATATATTTGTTCATTAATGTACACCGAAGCCACAGCTTTGTGGCTGTGGATGTCTGCAGCCCTGAGAACAGAGAGGGTCCTAGTTAGACAGCTAGAAATGTGCCTGGAAGCCGTCTTCCCCCCCAGGCTACGGACATGCACAGAATAGTTTTGGATAATTATTGTCACCACCTCCAAGAGACAAAGCAGGCTTTCTTTCAGACTGCCATTCAGTCTCAGGTCAAGACTCCTCTCCACCTTTTTCTCCTCCTTTCATTCTCTGTTAGCACCATCAACCACTGAATCAGGAAATAATTTGTCTCCCTGATCATCTCCTTCAGTTGAGGACTTTCTGCCTATCCTAGGTTTGTTAACACCATTTGTTGTTTGTTGTTGTTTAGTGTAAGGACATAAGCATACCCAAGGCTCACTTTAGTCCAGCATTTTGTTTCCCACAGTGATCAACCGGATACTTCTCGGGGTGTGTACGTGTGCACACTTCTGTGTATTTCTCTCTCTCCCTCTCTCTGTGATGGAATAGACAGTGTTTAGGAACTTCTGTAGCACATTGCTTGTACTCCAAACTGAGTAAGAAATGTGTATTAAATACCCTGTTCTGAGAACCTGTGTTTATTGTTTCTCCCTATTGTTCCATTTAATTCCATATTGACCTTTATTACCCCAATATTTTGAATAGACTACGGCTTCAAGAGCCAATCTGTAAAGAGGACACATGCCTATTGGTTGCTTTCACTTGATCACCCTGTCATCAATACAGGTAGTCCTCATTTAACAACCCTAACTGGGAGCAGCAACTCTGTTGCTAAGCGACACAGTTGTTCAGTGAAATGTCATACGACCGCTCTGCTTAGTGACAGTAGTTCTGGCAATCCCAGCTGCTGCCGTTGAGCGAATCCCATGCGGTTGTTACGTGAGGACTCACCCTGATCCAAGCCACTCTTGGAAGAAGGCGGGACTGCCTCCACTTCAGCTTCCCCCATCCAACTAACTCCCTCCCATCTCTGACCTTTTGGCCGCCTGCCTACCTGCTGCCACCAGCTGCCCCCACTGCCCGGCACTGCCTGCCACTTCATCTGCCTCACCATGCACCGCTACTGGCTGGGGCCTCCTTTTGCATGCCAGCATGTGAGAGAAGGACCCAGCTGGTAATGGCACATGGTGTGGCTCTCACCCGCCGGCCTGCGGGATGTTTCTATGGTGCCTCCCCCATGCAGGGCTGGGATGGTGAGCCAAGTGGAGGAGAGGCAGGCAAAGACAATGTCAAAGGTTGGCGGGGGGGCGGCAGCAGGGGGTGGTTGTAAATGCAGGTGGGCCTGCATTTTTTCACATGACTCTGGAGGTGCTACAATGGCTGGAACTTCGAGGACCAGTCGTAAGCCCCTTTGTTCAGCGCCATCATAATTTCAAACCATTGCTGAATGAATGGACTTACAACTGGTTCTTCAACAAATACTTCGACAAATCACAGAGTATGGCAATTTTTTTTGTTATGGTTAACCTTTTGGCCTTAGGATATAGTCCCAAGACATATGACGTAGCAACCTAAGCACAGCTAGACTATGTTCCTGGGTGAAGAATGCCTACGAACCTAACATACACTGCCTCTGTCCATGTTATGGAAGGAAGGTGGTAAATAACTGGAACACAAGAGTTGGCAAATAGTTTGCATGGATGAAAGCATTTGAATTTTGAAAGCATATTGTGGGTTTCTTACAAGAAGACTGCCATGGTGAGCATAGTTAAAGCACCCATTTAGCAGAAGGCAAACTGGTAAGTGTGCTTTCCATCACACCCCCTAGGTCCCTGGAATGATCTGTACCACCCACATTACTTTATCTTTGTTCTGAGTAGATGCGCACACTTCTAAGCAAATTGTTGTCAACCTGACAGACAGTCTGTCATGTTGTTGTCAAGTTGTCCATCCATGATGTAACAAATGTAAATTCTGCATTAGAAAGATGGGTCTGAAGCACTGCAATGGCAAAATCATATGAGGAGATGTGATAGAAATTGGAGGATAGGAGCTGCCTACTTCTCTGTTGCTGCTATTCTGTCAAAAACCACATCATATTAACTTCATACTGCAAAGAAATAGTGATACTTGAGTTAAAAATGATTTTAAGGAAAAAAGGATATTGCTTAAATTTTTAGTTGTAAAATGTAGATATCATGTTTTTTAGTTGTGGACTTGAATACAATGTTGGACAAATATTTATGACCAAATTGAAGGTACTGTAATGCTAAACACGTGATAGACATGGACCTGCTTTTCCTCTGATTCCAAAAGAGTTAGTAAAGCCAGAAGAGCCTTGACAAAATGACTTTATGTATTTTCTTGTCAGCAGTAGCCAATTATATAGAGGAGAAACACATAATATCATGATGACTTCTGAACAGAGAGTAGACTGTAAGAGTATTTCAAATACTAAAACTGCCTACAATATCTAAAACTTAAGTTGTTGCATGACTGCACATTTGCCACTTCATAGGAATGTCATGCAGACTCTTAGGAAAAGGCACAGGTTTGTTTCAATGGCAAATTTTTATTTAGATCATGGATCACAGATCTGTTTTGATAACATCTGTTGCTTCCTAAGCACTTTATATTGGACGAATAGAATAAAGGACCTCCTTGTCCCTTTTATTGTAATTTGCATTGAGGCCTGATGCAGATGTTATATTGGCTTATTCTTAATTATGCCAAAATGATTACAAGCCAACCTTTAGATTGTGCCACTGCTGCCTTTCTGTAAACTCCCTTCCTTAAGTATAGCTGCACTGGGTGTAACTGTGGTTAAATCTATCCAGGTAGTTCAAACAACTCTGATTCGAAACCAAAGTTTGAAGTTATTGAAAAAAATATCAGTGCAGAAGCTTTTATCTGCAGAAAGAAGTGAATGGTTAACTTATTTTTTAAAAAGTGTTGACATTTTGTTTTTAATTAAACCACAAACTTCCCCCTATTTATGTTTCTTGCCTACTTTTTTTGTCCCCAGAGGTGACAACTACTTACCGCACACCACTCTATGGCCAGCCATCATGGTGGGGAGAGGATGATGCCAACAATAAGCTGGATTCAACAGATGACAGAAGGCCAGAAGAACAATATTCAGGTCAGTTTAGCTCGGTTCCCACTTAGCAACAAAGTCATGTCTATCATAAAGAAGCTATGGGTTCTGACTTTAAGGTTAAGCCCTTTCATACTTAGTATCTCTATCTTGCCCTTGCTTATTGGGTCTTCTATATGAAGGATGGGTCTTTTTCATTTTTCTGGAACTCAGGATCAGCTGGGTATGCAGAAACCTCTCTTTACAGCCTTTCAGAAGAGCCCCTAAGGAACATTTTTTCATAGTAGTTTCTCCTCATAGTTTTCTAGGTCTGCTTGATGGAGTTTGATATCATGTGATTCACTTTAATAAGTTATTAAATTGTGAATTGCTGATGTTTTATGGATATTGAACTTAATTGAGAAAGGTTTTTGTCTTGCTGAGAAATAAAAGACTTTTAGAGTTAGAAGTACATGACCTGAGATTTGGGTGGCACGGATACTTGTGGTACGATAAAGTAAAGGTTAATGTATATTTTAAAAATCATTACATTAGTCGTACCATATTGAGAATATGGAATAGATACAAACCCAGGTTGTGCCCGAAAACACCTTTATGGTTCTCAGCATAAGAAGCATTTTATAATCTAGAAATAATAGGCAGAGGTAAATGGTTAAAGTATCGTGAGATACTAGAATTTTATCAAGGGGAATATAAAATAAAATCAAGAGAAAAACTGATGACAGAGGGATGTAGTTGTCAGTGGTTTTTTTTATTTACAGTTATCAGAAAGTTTTAAAGTAGACAATAAATTCATGTATTGAACGATGTAAAACAGAATTTGAAACAGAATTGTGTACAAATGATAAACGTGGTTGCTAAAATATATAAACTTTTATTGAAATTTTAAATAGAAGAAGAACAGGTCAAAGAATGTATGATAAAATGGGCTAAAAACTTTGGTTATAATAAACAAATTGAACAATGGGAAAATATGTGCTTGAAAGGATAGAAATTCACACTATGTTATACAGTAGCTTAAGAAGAATTTTATAAAATGATGTATTGTTGGTATATGACACCAGAAAAATTATCCAGAATGTATAAAGGTACTTCAAATTTATGTT